CCCACCCCCTACCTTTCACCACTTTCTCAGCGGTTTTGGGCTGCTCTCGGCAAGCGCCCCCTACCTTTCACCACTTTCTCAGCGGTTTTGGGCTGCTCTCGGCAAGCGCAGCAAAACCCCATTCGCAGAAAAAAAAAAAAAAAATTTCCGGGACACTTTTCAGGCCGCCCGGTTTTGCCGGGCGGACCCCCCCCGGTCCGTCTGGCCCGGGCCTGCCCAGAAAAAAAGAAAAAAAAAGAAAAAAAAGAAAGGAAGCACTGAACATCATGTATTGTCAAACGGGTCGGTTTCTTATTTAATCACCAGTACCCTGTCCAGTGTCCACTAATCCCACGCACACTCGCTGGTCAACCTGGTGCTGCCGATACGCTCGGCCTACAGGTCTGCGGCCCCAGGGAGGGGGTGCAAAATTGTCAAGTGCCCCCACTTCTACAATTTCCCACTGTAATCTGCTTTGAAAGAAAGGAAAATCTGAAAACACTTCATGGGCATAGATTACATGCCGCTGATAAGAAGAAATATTTACCATGATCTAAAAATTAAAAACTTCATGGTGCGCCCTCTGGGGCATCCGTGAAAATTGGAACGATACAGAGAAGAGAAGCATGGCCCCTACACAAGGATGGCACGCTTAGATCGAGAAATGGTCCACGTCATACTTGCAACCGCACCGTGCGCTGTACCGTCCGGTGTGCTGCACGGCGTGCAACGCTGCACCTGCTCGTGCGCCGTACCAGTGGCAGTTTCCCTTTTTTTTGTTTTTTTTTGCTGTTTTTGTAGATACAGAAGAGTGCATCACCTGAGGAACTGATCTTTTTCAAGTACAGTTGTAGTACAGATTTCTCTTTCCGTCCAATTGGGTATGAGAAATAGCCTCAAAAAGGTGTCTGGGACATCAGTCTTGACCTTTAGGTAGTGGCATTACCCTCCCAGGAGCGCCCCCCCCCCCAATCCCACAACAAATCTTTAAAGGGAATGCAGGTGACCGTTGACCCAACCATGCGACCCCTGTTTTTTTTTGAGTGAATATTTCCCCCATACACCGCATATTCCGTGCGCCGCACCGCGCGAGTCCACTCGTGCGCCAAACGTGCGGAATTTTCTGCACGGCGTCCACTTGCATGTATGGTCCAAGTGCAACAACAAAAAAAAGAAATGGTGTAAATGCAAGTCCAATACACGACCCCACAACGATTTGGGAATCCAGGGGCGGGGAAATCCAGTGTGAGGAAAATCAGGCTCGAAGGTACTGGTGGTTTAAACCACCAGTACCTAGCGGTTGTTAAGGCCCGTGGCTCAGCCTACCAGTATCCCGAACCTTGCCGAGCCTCGAGCTACCGGTAGGTACACATCAGAAGAAAAAAAAAGACAAAAAAAAAAAAAAATTGACATTCTTCTGCGCAAAAAAAAAAGAAGAAAAACAAAGATGCCCATTTTGGGTCGCGTGGAGAGAG